GAGTTTAATTCCAGTGTTGGCCTGTGGCTACTCAGGGCCTTCCAATCACCAAGTGATCTTGATAGCCATTAGCAAAGATGAACTTTTAAGCAAAAATAAATAAATAAAAAGTAAGTCAGTTGCTCATTCCTGAACCAAACACAGTGGTCAAAGGGATGAAATGTGCCAATTGTCCAAGCTTGGGATTCTCAACCGCCTCTAGGATGAGTCCTGCTCCCCAACAAATCTTAAGTCCTGAGGAAGGGCAGAGCTCCAATGGAAAAGAAGGAAGATTGGATGGTAGGCAAGCAAATAAACACAACAACAACAATAGTAATGATAGGTATCTGCTACACCAAATTTCTGGTTGTAATTCTTGGCCACACTCCCCTCACCAGCTCAGGGTCCCGTTCAACAGGTAGGGTAGCATGGGCACCAATCATAGCACAATAATGAACTGTTGATTCTTTCTGGGAGACAAGAAAAAAACACACACTGAAACGGGATGTTGGAATAGGCTAAAGGCTTGACTTCATTTCAACACTTTTAATACCTACCTTTCTGTTTGCTTTTTAGTCTGTTTTATATTTTACCTAGTTCCTGTTACACCTGAAGTGCCATATCCAGAAGACAATATGACAACTTAGTAAAACAAATCATAATGAGGAAAGTCCTGTGTGCATTGGTTTAAGGATTAAAATGTCAAATTTTAAATGTTGATGGGTTCACATGATTTGTGCCTGAGGAAGACAGTAGAGCTGGAAGAGCAGGCAGAGTTGTGAGAATCAAAGAGTCTGGGCCATGGCATGAGGGACCAACTCCCAGCTAATAGAAGGAGCTTGTCCTCTCACTGTTTGAGGCTAGAATGTGGGCAAGAAGAGAAGGAATTCTGTCATTGCAGTTACCAACTTGCTTCCAATTGAGGTTTTGCCACTTGCTAGTGATGCAGCCCATAGCAAAGTTAGTGAGAAGTAATAATGCCATTTCTTGAGCTAAATGTATACCAACTGCTTTAACCTTTAGGAGAACTTTGGAGGGGATGTATCGTTAAATTCCTTTTATCAAACGCTACCAGTGGCAAGACACGTAATTAATTTAATAATAGTTTTATAGGATAATGCTTTACAGGACATAAGCAGCCAGGTGCAGTAGCTCATGCCTGTAGTCCCAACACTTTGGGAGGCCAAGGCAGGAGGGTTGCTTGTTGCCAGGAGTTCCAGATCAGCCTGGGTAACACAGCGAGACCCCGTCTCTATTAAAAAAAA